TAATTCTGAATAAGCTGAATAAAGACATGGAAACCAATTTAGTTCAACATTGTGTTTTTTCCATATCACATGAAGTTCTTTTTGAGTTATTGTTGGTATAGAAAAATCTCTAAGGTCGCCGTTTTGCTACCGGATCATATTTATTATTATTTATTTTTTGCGCCATTTGCTGAAATCTGTATTTCTTTTTTCTTTTCCCTTTTTTTTTTTTCTTCATTGCAGGACATGGCTAGTTAATTCTGGTACCAGTAGGTATGCAGCTACCTTCCAGTGTTTTTTGGACAACTGGCACATCAAAGCTGTAAAGACAGCCCTGCGTATGCCCCTACCACTCCCGGCCTGCCTGTTTTTTTCCTAGTTTCTGTAGGTGATGGACACCTTCTCTTATCTCTGAGAGAGGCACATCCTTTTCTGCACTTTTTTGCTCATGACTCTTAGCAAGTTTCCCAAGGCTGCTCACGCCTCTCAGCAGCTATGCAGATCGTTTTTTGGTCTTTTCTCCCTCAGGATGTGGAATTGGCTTGTATTGTGTTCAGAGCACTGAATCCTACGTAGGGCATTCACTTTGGCACCTTGTGTATCACACGCAGTTGCCACAGGGTGCTGTACAGGTTCACAGCCATGGTCCATTTTGGTGGGGTCCTGTCCCTGAAGACCCCTTTTGGGGTGTGTACCCTCCAGGAGGGTAAAGTGTTGGTCAGTGACTTGGATCAACCCAGAAACTTGTATACTCTGCAATACCCCATTAAATAGGGTTTCCTTTACAAATGGGCTTTCCCATAGACCTAGCTATCTCTTGTTTGAACCAGATTTTACCAGTCCCTGTTTTTCATGGACCACGTGGACAAGAGGTTAGAAGCCTTCTTTAGAGCTCTATTTGCCCTTTGTGGGCACTGCTATTCCATCTACTGTTGCAACCATGGTGATGTCAGACCTCATTTGTGTGACCAAAAGCTATGAATTGAGACCTTGTGTGCATTTTGATGGACCTCACTGCTCTAAAACAGCTAGAACTTTTTCATATGGCCTTGTGCTACTGCAGAAATGGTCTGACAAATATCCTCCAACAAATCTCCAGGATGGGTCTCCTGTCTGTCCGCATGCAACAGATCCTATGGTTTACAGGTGAAACTCGAATAATTAGAATATCGTGCAAAGTTCATTTATTTCACTAATGCAACTTAAAAGGTGAAACTAATATATGAGATAGACTCATTACATGCAAAGCAAGATAGTTCAAGCCGTGATTTGTCATAATTGTGATGATTATGGCTTACAGCTCATGAAAACCCCAAGAACCCCAAATCCACAACCTCAAAAAAGTAGATTACATGCAATCAATAAAACAAGGATTGTACATAGAACAATATCAGACCTCTGAAAAGTACAAGCATGCATATGTACTCAGTACTTGGTTTGGGCCCCTTTTGCAGCAATTACTGCCATTACTTTTGCACGATATTCTAATCGAGTTTCACCTGTAAATGCTAGTCTGCAAAGCTTCCTGAGGTGAGGTTGATGTTTTTGTTATTATACAGGATTTATATAGTGCCAACAGTTTGCACAGGTTGAATGCATGTCCTTTACTGGGTAATGCCTGTGTGACACATCTTTGGATATTTACATCAAGGAAGTAATGGGGGGAGGGGGGGGGCAAAAGCACCTTCTTACTACAGAGGTAGATCAAGTCCCCTGCAGCAACATCCTCTGCTCCCTCTAAGAAAAGTTCCTTTTGGCCATCTAAAGCCTCAGGGTCCAAACCCAAGTCAGGCCATCAATTTCATTGTAGGTTCTGGCCCTTTTCTGTAACATTCCGGATGCCTGTTTTACACCCTCTGTCTGGTTCATTTCCTGATGTCGAACCAACCAAGATCTTCTCCAAGACCTAGATCTTTTCGCTGACAAGGTCAGCTCTTTTGTCAGGGGGTCATAGTCCCTGTTCTGGAGGCAAAAAGTTTTCAAGGGATTTACTCCAACCTTTTCACTGTCCTCAAATCAAAGGTGGGAAGGAAGTGTGGAAGGGTCAATCCTATTCCCGATCTGAACATTCTTAATCGGTTCCTGCGAGTTCAAAGTTCCATATGGAATCTACCCATTCTGTTATTGCTTCGCTTCAAACAGGAGACATCCTGGCATGGTGGAAATTAAGAATACATTTTTGTATAGCCCTATTTTTCCTGCCCATCAATGCTACCTGTGTTTTTTTTTTTTGCTGTAGACGCGCAACACAACTCATTTGTTGCCTTTCCATTCAGCCTGTTCAGTGCACCTCAGATCTTCAACTAGGTGCTGGTCCCTGTTATGGTTCTGCTTTGATCCCAGGGGATCCCCAGAGTGGGGTATATGTAAGGACCTTCTCAGAGTGCATTTAAGGCAAGCCTTCTTGTCCAAACACTGCAAAGCTTTGGATGGGTCCTGAATCCAATCTTTATTGCTCCCATGCTTGTACTTTATTCTGGCTTGGCAGAAAATTTCCCCTCTATACATCAAAGGCATAGAGAATTGGTAGGCAAACTTTCTCAGTCATCATGTCTGGACCCCCGAAGCATGGGCCATTTACCTGGAGGTGTTTCAGGCCTGTGCTACAGGTGGGGTGATGCCGAACTTGGACCTCCTGGCATCCAGGCGTAACAACAAACTGGACATGTTTGTACACCAGGACCAGGGATCCCAGCATCTTCACAGTGGATGTCTTGGTGACTCAGTGGTACAAGTTCAGCCTGATCTACACCACTATTCTAAAACTCCTACACAGGATTGAGATGAAGGGGATGCCAGCGATCCTCATTGTCCATTGGAGACAGCCGGATTTTTGTTCCACTATCAGTAGGTGGATTTGGCAAACTATCGCTCAGGACTGTGAGTTGAAGGGTAAAATTCCTCCTTTTCTAATTTAAGGCCCACTCTACTTGGGAGCATTTAGTGTTGTGTGGGCTTTCCAGTTTTGGGCTTCAGTTTGATTAAATCTGTAAGTCTTTCACCCTAAAAAATACATTACTATGTTTTATAAATTTAGTCTATTTCCTTAGCAAGTGTATGCTACTTCATATGTTACCTATTCATGTAATATCCTTTTTGCTGTCAATTTTACATGTCTGAGCAAGCGTATGTATGCTAAGCGATTTGATCGCGGTTTCTTTATTAAATATTTTATTGAAAAACATAATCTTGATTAAAAAATACACAAAAATTTATTTGAGGTTGTGTTGAGTAAATATATACCACATATGTCAAGACTCAAAGCTGCATGCCCCGGCGAAATGGCAAAAACTTGCGGCTGCTAAAAAATATCAATGGGTAATGCTTTAAATGCCTTCACAGCACATAATTTTGGAGTTACCAGTAAGACCCATAGACCTAGAATTATTTCTCACTCTGGCATGCATGGAAATACCCAATATGTGCTGCACAGTCATGGTTGACATACATGTGCAAACCATTTGTGTGCGGTCCTGGTGACGGGTGTGTTTTAAAAAAACGTTTATGATGTTTTACTTTTTGTTTTACTTTTCAATTTTTTTTTACTTTATTGCAAAAACAAGAGAGCTAACAGGCCCTTTAACATTGCAGAAATGTCTAGTTGAATGTGACCCAACTACTAGCTATACCATGAACTGAATAAATAAATGGAAACATTCAGACATTTCAAAGGGACAGATGCTATCCATGGGATTAAGTTTTTAGGTCAAGGCCTGCAGCTCTAGGCTTTGGGATAGTTATTACTGCAGTAAAACTTTATATGCACAATAACCATCAGTACCAAGTACATATTGGTGATTTTAAATTTAACTTATGTACAATTGACGTTGATATTTCATGTGACAAAACTTTGCACCAATGTTCCTGCTCCAGAAAGAAGCACAAGAGCTTCTGAAGTCAAAAGTCAACATAGCGGTAGGAGATATGCAGATAATAAGGAATAGTGTTGCTGATTTCACTAGCAGTCTGCTGCTCTTTGCAGGATACTGCTCCACACGTCAGGGAATTGCTTACACTGGGTAAATGGATTTTGTAGTAATTGAAAGCTGAGTAATGGATTCCCAGTCTGTTCTAAGAGACACTGCTTGAGCCTTTAGCATACTCCTTGATAGGGGTTAACAAGAGATAAAAGAAAGATGTTTAACTAATGTTAACCTTGAGAAAACCCCTCAGGTTTTCTTATTCATGCACATTTTTTAAATATTTCATGAGCAGGTTTCCACGGCATCACATTTTGGGCTTTCAGTAAGTCTACAGGATGTCCTGTTGCTCCTTCTTCTTTTTTTTTCTTTTTTTTTACAGCACTGAATCTACAATTAGCTTCAAAGCACACCTGTGGAGTTGCTGTCTGTAAATATCACCAGGTAGAGGGCCTACATATAGCATGGATTCACTTCACGTTTTTTTTTCTGCTATATATAGTGGCATCACATCCTAATGGGCTATAAAGCCTATTTCAAGGCAAAGCTCTATTTTTTTTTTTCTTTCCTTTTTTTTTTATTCTACAAAAAAGAGATGAGGTTTTGTCAAGATCTGATATTTCCATCCTCCGTTCGGATTTGCCTCACTTTCTAGGAGAGAGTAGGTAGAAACCCAGCAGTGAAGGCACTTTTGAGAGTGGAGAGAGGTTAGAATTATATTGCTTCATCTGTTCCCGGTAGGGAGAGTTTTCCTCAGTTCTTGCCCTGCAGTTGCCCACAAATTTGCATGAAATCTTAAATTTGCTTGAAATCTGTTGGCAAACCTCACCACCTCCAGTGCGAATCTCCATCTGCCTACATTAACTCGGTAGCAACGGCATCAATGCCTTTTTAATGCCTTTCATGTCTTTCTGCATCTAGTTTGCCGATACCAAGAATTATGCAATGCCCCATGAAGATTAATAATTGCAAGTAATAACATGAAATCGGTAAACCATTTTTATTGGTAGAATTTTTAACATTGCATTTCATTTGATGTTCCTGTGAAATGTTCTCATTTTCTATGTAAATCCTCTGTAATCTATCTTTGTTCTTTTCCAGATTTGATACAAGCTACTAATGAGACAAATGTGAATATTCCTCAGATGGCAGACACATTGTTTGAACGAGCAACAAATAGCAGCTGGGTCGTTGTGTTTAAAGCCTTAGTCACAACTCATCATTTAATGGTCCACGGTAATGAGGTAAGCTTCTTGGGTAACTACTCTGACTAGGAAAAGGTGCTTGTTAAAATACAATGCCTATATGAAAAGTAGTTTACATACATTAATGTAACGGAACATTAAATCCCAATCAGTTTATTTAGCTGTGTGGTGTGGGTTTTTGTTACACTGATAAACAGAAATATGCTCTTTAACCACTTGCTGACCGCTGTGTTAAACCCCCTTCCTTTCCAGGCCATCTTTCGGTATTCGGCGCTGCAGTACTTTGACTGACATTTATTCCGTCATACAATGCTTTATTCAAATGAATTTTGTACCATTGTTTTGTGCACAGATAGAGCTTTCTTTTGGAGGTATTTAATCACCGCTGGGTTTTTTTTATTTTTTACTATTTAATGAAAAAGTACAGAAAATTTTGAAGAAAAACCTGTTGTCCCTACTTTGTTATGAAACATTTATCAGCACCCAGTTTTTTGGTAAAATATTAAAATGTCAGATAAATGGACACCAAAGATGTCAAGCTTTACAATTTGTGTGCCCGCGAAATCGCAATAAACTACTATGCCTAAAATTGGCCATAGGCGACGCTTTAAAAGCTTTTACCGCTCACCAGTTTAGTGTTATCCGTGATTAATGGCCCTAGAATTATTCTGACTGCGACATTATCAGCGATATGTAAGGTGTGGCGTAATCATTGTTTTCACATGTAGGCGGACCCGACACATATTTGCGTTTATAATTGCGTGCTCTGGGGCGGGGGACTTAAAACTTTTTTTCTTAACACCGCACTTGATGCATGTAACTTGACATCACATAGGGGGGGATAAAAACCCCCATGTGATGGCCAAAAAGCAATGACGGGTCATGTTTATGGAGACATCAGGGGTCTCCAAGACCCCTAATGTCACCTGGGGACACCCAAAGTAGCTAATGAAGCAGAAATCTGCTACACCAGCTTCTTCTCTGGCTGTAGGGAATGCTGATCTCTCCTTCTCAGTACAGAGGGCCGCTGTGTCGGTGTTCTCGGTCCCAGGCACTGCAGGTGGGACATGTATAAGCTACATTGGTATTCCACACTGTGAAGAAGCAAAAAGCTTACGAGAAGCAGAATTTAACGACCCAAAATGGTAATTGTATTTTTTTTTAATTTAAAAAAAATGCCACTTGCTCATAAAGTCAGTAAGTTATGTTGACAGTATTTCATTTGTGCAAGGAAAGTAAACTGTCCAAATTAAAAAAATTTGCTTTCATAGAGAAGGTCTTCTATTTGACTAGGTGAGAGTTGGCCTTGTGGCCCTTTTTTTGAAGGTCTGAATAGGTATGCTTTATTCCCTTTTCTGCAGAAAAAAGCTAGAGTATCACCATGTGTGCATGATTTGCACTCTTCTGCTAAGTTGAGAAGAAGCTTGCAGGAGGTTCAGAGAAGAAGTTTTAAAATTGGCAGATGTCTCCCTGACTAATGTTTTCTGAGAAACCTGCCTGTGAAGGGCTATTTTTTAAGATTTGTTTTGTCTTGTATTGAATAAAAAATCAGCAGCACTCACAGGGGTCAGAACGTGAAATCTTGTTTCTTTTATTGAACTTCATCACATGCATCATCAGAGCCAACATTTCGGGGCCATGCAGGGTCCCTTCAGGGCAACAGTGACCTAGTGACACAAGTCACTATATCGCTCTGAAGGGACCCTGCGTTGCCTCAAAACGTTGGCACTGATGATGCATGTGACGTACTGTATGTTCAATAAAAGGAACAAGAATTTGCATTCTGATCCATGCGATTTTGTATTCAGTACTTTGAGGCTACACGGTGCCATCCATGTCATCACTGAGAGCACCATTAATAATAACTTCGAGGTGACAACGCTGTATGGAGTGCAAGTGATCTACAACGAAACACCATTGGTTTGTCTTTTGTCGCACATTACGTTTTTGTTTTCTTTACTCTCATTTGTGGTCATTGGTAGAAATGTCATTTTATAAACCTGTTTTCATATGCATATCATGGTAGGTTACTTTTAGACCTTTGCCACGACAAATCTGTAAAAGCCTGTCAAACCTAAAAATGCTTTACTGCACCATGAGTTTATGGAACATCTCAAGCATTTTTGCCTAGAAATGTAAATTATTTGGTACCTTCTCTGTGGTTCTCACAGTTTTTGCAATGGGTCCCTTCTATATGATTAAAAATTATTATGACTTTAGACAAGTGACAAAACTGTAGCACAGGTGTGATAAGTGTACACTGTAGTCCAATGCATGGCAGTGGCTTGATGCATATAGTCAGTGGCGCAACCGGTGCGGGGGCCTGAGGCTGTGGGGGGGCCCAGTGGGGTCAGGTCCTGGGCACCCACACAGCCTCAGTGGGGTCCGGTCCTGCAATATATGGCAGTGCACGGTCCCGGTGTTCGGTTGTGTACTGCTATTTCATGTAATTAGACAAGTGGATTATAATGGGGAATATTACACTGTAATGTTCCCTATTATAATCTATTTCTCTGATTAAATGATTACAGACAGGCCTCTGTTCTATCAAAGTTTGAGACTACGTTAGAATGTGTGACCAGTGGCGTGGTCACACATTTTCACGTAATCTCACCCAGTTTTTCGGCAGTGGAATAGGTGAAGCATTCCAACGCTTTCTCTGCTGTTCCAGGGCAGATCGGCATTGCAAATCGCATGTGCAGGGGAACCGATCTGCCCTGAAACAGCTGATCGGTCCTGAAATGTCACTTCTATCCGACTTTGTGAGTGCGGTGGAATGTGAGATCGCAGTCGGAGAGAAGTGATATTTCAGGACCGATCAGCTGTTCCAGTGCAGATCGGTTCTCCTGCACATGCGATTTGCGATGCCGATCTGCCCTGGAACAGCTGGGAAAGCGCTGGAATGCTTCACCTATTGGCGGTCACACATTCCACCGCCGAAAAACTGGGATTACATTAAAACGTGTGACCACGTCAGCGGTCACACATTCTAACGTAGTCACAACCTTTTGATGGAACACCGCCATCAGGGGTGTATGGCCGGTACCCATGTGAGGGGTCTGGGGGGCCTCTTACATGGGTATCAACTGTACCGGGGCGGCATGGCAGAGGTGACAGGGGAGGGGGTGGAGGAGGCCGGGCCCCAGCAGCAGCAGGTAAGAAGAGTTGGGAGGAGGTACAGGGAAAGGGATCCAGATGACCAGGCCAGCCCACCTGGGACCCTGCAGAGCCCACCATAGAGAGTCTCAGGTGGGCTATGCAGAATCTATGGTGTGCTCTGCAGGGTCTCGGGTAATTCCAGCATGCTACTGCAACATTAGAGAACGCTGGGGGGGTCTTGGGCCAGTGTGATCCGCGCCCCCCCCGGTCTTGGGAGGGGGGCCAAAGATAAAATCAGGGCCCTTTTGGTTATTAGGTCTGCCACTGCATAGAGTCGATGGTGGAGCCCAGGCCTGACTGAATTTTGTCTTTGATGCAGCAAAGCACATTACAGTCTGCCTGCTGACCGTGAAGAGCAAGGCAATTCCAACACTGTCCATTTGTCTTGGTTAAAGACAGTTGCAGTAGTTTTGTGCGAAGTCCTTCAAACATTTTTGGTGCTAGTACATTTGGTAAATCTATTTTAATGTACTGCATGCTTGTACTTAACATCTGGTATACACTGCAGTTCTAGCCACATGCAATCTGGCTTTTTAATTTGTGTGGTTGATGCTGGATATAATTAATATGAGTGTTCTGATTTGTGCCTTAGAGATTCATCCAGTATCTGGCATCTCGGAACACACTATTTAACCTAAGCAACTTTTTGGACAAAAGTGGATCACACGGTAAGAATGTGTGCTCTTTATTCCAGTCTCAAGTATGTGAACTGTTTGGTTTATTATTGTGTTCAACCATGCCGGAAATATAACTATTTTACTTTGTAACTTGTTATGAATTTCTACACAGCAGGCTTTTCCTAGGGAAAAAAGAGTCTGGGTGGATAATGTTATACTTTCTCAGAAATTGACTATTTCGGCAGTTACATTCAGCTTGCAGATAGCGTTAACATTTCTGGATGCTATTTTATCTCTACATCTACAAAAGATGTTTTTATCCTTGACCCCTCTGGCAGACTCGTAGATGACATTTGGTTCAGGGATTCATTTCTATTGCAGATTTAGCAGCACACAGCTCACCTTTTGAAGTCACATATAGGTGGAATACCAAAACTAGAATAAAAGCAAAACGTTTTATTCAGAATTATTTTACAGCTAACCCAGGCATGGACAAATCCCAGGAGCCAGGTAGCCAGTGCGCCTTAAAAATTAAAGTTGGCACCTCACCTTTGAGGTGTTATCTAGTTGTTGTCGGGATAAACTGGCTCCTGAATTTCATATTAATTTGTCCACCCCTGAGTTAACGTATGATGGAAGCATTTTTCTGTGTTTTGTACTTTTTATATTGGTTTAATGTAAGGGTAATTCCACCTTCTCAGGCACATTTGAGAAAATGGAACTACCCCCACCAATCTGCCCCTTCTCTCCCCCCGATGCTCTTGTCAATGATCACTCTTTCCCATTGTAGATGTAGTATCTTTACTCCATACATGGGATTGCAGCCCTGCAGTATGTATTTCAAATTTTGCTTTCAAATGATGAGCACTCATTGGTCAACAGGGTCACATGTGTGCTTGCCATTTGGGAATTCAGGAGTGTCATTTTAAATACATAGCACAGTGCTGCAATCCTGTGTATTGAGTAGGGATATTACACTGGCAGCCATAGAGGGGAAGGAGAGAATGACGGGTAAAAGTAACGGGGGGGATGCAGAGGGAGCAGATTGGTGTGGGGGTAATTCCATTTTCCCCAAACACCACCTGGGAAAGTGGAATTACCCTTTAACTTAAAACTAATGACACACTCTACACTTAACGTGGGGTGCAATTTTAAGTCACTTCTTACTCCGGTGTGCTGAATTTACAGCAGAGGTCTAATGCAATATATTATTGTGGGGGTATTTTGTATGGAAAAGTCAGTTCATAATGACAAGCTAATTAGCATATGGCTTTGTACTCTCAAAATGTTGCTAGCTACAAAGTGACATTTAACAGCGAGTTTCAATGATATATTTATAACATATACTTATTTCCAGATATATTTATCAGAAAAATGCACATTCCTAATGCTTGTGCTGGGAAACTATGCACTATACTCTTTTGGTCAGCCTAAAATGTACAATGAGTATTTCTGCCAAAAATGAATAAAGTTCTGCCTTAAACCATTTTGAATGGAGGACCGTAGATAGAACAATGTTAAGAAACCAAGGGATTGTAAACTTATCCAGAGTATGTTTTAGGCCCCTTATACTTGGATACCTGTCAGTTCCGATCAGCAGGGAAGTAGCATTATTCCTGGGAGAAAAAAAGGTATTTTAAAGCATTTCCAAGCAAAAAAAAACAATCGCAGATCATGATATGCAAATGTACATGACTATAGAAGAGGTAAAAAGTTGTGAGATTGCAATCTGGCTTTATAGTGTAGGAGGGGGGGGGGGGGGGCTGGGGTTTTTGTTGTTTT